CCAGAGTGCTGCATCTACAAGCTTCGAGGAGGCAAAGCCGAAGGGCGGATGCACTTAAGAGAGATTATCCCAATACCATTCCGATCATTGCACATCGACCATTTGGGACCGTTCCCCAAAAGTAAGAAAGGGAATCAGCACATCATTGTTTTGGCCTGCGCCTTTTCCAAATAAGTAATTTTGAAAGCTGTACGAAACAGCAAATCTGCACCAGTAATTAGCATGCTACGAGAGGTGATGACCACGTTTGGTCAACCGGTTCAACTCACAACCGATCGCGGAACAGCATTNGTAATTTTGAAAGCTGTACGAAACACCAAATCAGCACCAGTAATTAGCATGCTACGAGAGGTGATGACCACGTTTGGTCAACCGGTTCAACTCACAACCGATCGCGGAACAGCATTCACCTCCAAAGAGTTCGAAACATTTTTACAAGCTCACGACGTACAACACATAAAAATTGCCGTAAGGATACCGCGAGGCAACGGTCAAGCAGAACGGGTCAATAAGACTATTTTACCAGCTATACGAACGACGATGAAGACTACGAAAGAGTGGGTCTTAACTTTGCTCACGCTACAGTGGAGTCTCAACTCTCAGCCAAATGCGACTACAAAGATGAGTCCGAACGAACCGGTTCCGCAAGATGAGAACAAGCGAGATGTGTTACTTACTCGAGCAAAAGAGAATATCGAAGCAGCACAATCGAAATGGCAACAACGATTTAATGAACGTCATCAACAACCGACACGGTACAATGAAGGTGAGCTAGTGATGATCAGCAATGTGTCGACAGCCACGGGAGAGACCCACAAACTAGACGCCAAATACAAAGGTCCATATGTGGTCACCAAGATATTGGACCATGATCGGTATATTGTCGAGGACATACCGGATGCACCGGTGACCCAGCGACGGTACTGTAGTGTACTATCCAGTGAACAAATGAAACGATGGTGTCAGCTTAACCCACAACTCGAGGTAGACGACAGCGACGGCAGTTCTTCAGATGCCTAACCGAGGTCGGTTAGTGATAGTCAGGAGAGGCCGAGCTGTAAAGTGAGAATGGAGAGAGCGAGCGAGCAGTCAGTCAAGTACGAACAGCCAGGCGGAACGGTTCAATAACCGGGCAATCGAATTGAATACTTAACTCTGTATCAGATAATTTATTAAACAGTCTATTTTACTTGTTATACTACTACCCGGGTTACATCTTGACACTTGGGAAAGGATGAGGTAACTAGAATTCCCTTTCTGTGTGGTAAACCTGGGGCTGCCGCCCCAGTGATGTCTATTATGGTTACTGGGGGGTTTATAAAAATGTCTTGTATATAAAAATGTGTACATAAAAATGTCTTGTGCAAATGAATATTTAACATTTTTCAAGCGAAAAAACCCAAATGAAAATTGTGATTTTTGGCCATTTTCCTAAGGGGTCCCTAGGGAACCATAGGGAGCCTAGGTGGTCGGGGCGACATTTTTGTCAATGGCGGTTCATGGCCTCTCCAAAAAGGGTGGTTGGAGGTGCCATGCCCACTATCCCTTCGCCCACCGCCCCTTTAATGAACGCCCGTATTGGAAAGTTTCCCCAAACCAACGATTTTTTCCCCATATTTAAGAGGCTCGCCTGAGGAGCCCGGTAGTCGGAGGAGAAAGAAAAGCATTCCATTGAATTCCTTTGTCTTTGCTCTTTCAAGCTGTAAAGGTGGGCGGTGCCACGCCTCTTCATTTTTTCTACCAGCCCCTAACAAACAGATACTTTTCGGAACCCAACCCAGGAGAATTCTACTTAGTAAGGATTATAATCCCTAAAGCTGTATTTACATGAGGCGATTTTCTAAGCGATTCAAACTTCAGAAAAATCGCTCGTGTAAATGGTGATTCAAAAAGCGCTTGCCGCAAAGTAGACAGCAAGTCAACTTTTGCAGGCGATTATCGCCTGTCAAAAAATCGCCTCATGTAAAAGGGTTCTATTTAGTGAGCGTTATAATTCCTATAGGCGGCCGAAGGCCTACGGTAAATTTACGTGGATTATGTGTTGCCGGAGAAGTGGGGCAGAACTTCTTTATGTGTAGGCGGCCTTCGGCCGCGCTTCGAGATTATAACCCTTACTACTCAGAATTCTCTTTTCTGTGTTGCCGGAGAAGTGGAACATAACTTCTTTCTGAGTAGGAGGGCTTCGGCCCTTTTTCTAAAATTTGCCGCCCGCATACTAAAATTTTCCTAAATCTAGTAAAACCTGCGAAAAATAAAAATTCGCACAGAGCGCTTTGTAGTAAAAAATAGTAATTTCTGACAAATTCAACATAACCTAAAAATTTTGCTTGTTGTTGTTGTAGCGGCTACTTAACCCCGCTCGAGTCGGCTCATTAACAACGTTGTTGTTGTTGTAGCGGCTACAACAGCCCCGCCCAGATCGGTTGATATCTCAGTCGTTGTCGTCAAGTTCCACTTTACGTCGATGGCAACAAAATACCGACGGTCAACCACCCCAAAATCCTGGGAGTCACGTTCGACAGCCTATTCTCCTTTTCTGCACACGCCTCAGCCACTTGCGAAAAGATGCGAGCTAGGAACAAAGTCCTCCAGTCACTAGCCGGCAGCACTTGGGGAGCCGACAAAGAAACCCTACTCACTACGTACAAAGCAATCGGCCGGTCGGTGGCAAACTACGCAGCGCCAGTGTGGACGGCGGGTACCAGCGATACACAGTGGAGAAACCTACAGACATGCCGGAATGCAGGAGGCACGGCTACAGGCTGCCATCTCATGTCGTCCGAGCATCACCTCCACCAAGAAAGCCAGATGCTGGCGGTGAAAGAGCATAACACGTTGCTATCGAAGCAGTTCCTCGTGTGATGTTACCGTGGAAATCACCCCAATAACACCCTGCTTCGAAATTAACCGCCTCCCCGTCATGTCCGACGTCACCTGCACGACTGGAAATCCGACGTTGAGCCGTGCGTAGACCACCCATTCGACGCAGAGAAATGCAGAGCGGCGCTTAACCACCTACACACCGATGCAGTCAGGTCAAGTCTTAGCACCAGAAACGACAACATCGTTCTAGGTGGTCGACCGACACCCATCAACATCGACGAAGCCGAACTACCTAGAGAGACCAGGTGCACCCTAGCACAACTCCGTTCTGGGTGGTGGCACAGATTAAACAGCTATCTCTCCCGGCTGAACCCAGAAGTGGCAGACACATGCCCTGCATGCGGGCAAGGTCCACACAACACACAACACCTCTTTGCATGCGCCTCTAACCCCACGATCCTGACACCAGAAGCACTATGGACCGCGCCTATAGACGCCGCCCGCTTTCTGGGCCTCAGGCTTGTCGAGTCAGAGGACGAAGACGACCCTTGACGAAACCCCGGGGGTTGAGTACTGCTGCTACAACAACAACGGCAGCCCTAGGAAGCGTGCAGCCTCCACTGGGTCGGTCCACAGGGAAAAGCCGTTAGGGTTGTCGGGTTTTCCGGGCATGCGAAGAGATGTTTCGAGTCATGAGGGGTCTCTCCGCATGCCGGACACTCATTTGGCACATCCGCGTTCAGTCTGCTCAGGTATGAGTTTAACCTGCTGCAGTAGCCCGAGCGAAGTTGGGAAGTGTGGTTGTTGTTGTTGTGGTTGTGGTTGTGGTGGTTGTTGTTGTTGTGGTTGTGGTTGTGGTGGTTGTTGTTGTTGTTGTTGTTGTTGTTGTTGTTGTTGTAACAGCATACAAATTCCCCAAAGAGTTTTTGGGGAGTGTAGCTGGAGTGACAGTCCTTGGCCAGATATAAATCTGGGTCGTTCCGGTTACGTAGACCCGACTGTCGTGGGAACGCTATTGTGGTTGTCGCCTGGTTCAGTTAAGGAGGGCCCAGGGAGCTCGAAACTTCGACAGGGACTGTCCATAGGGACAGAAGCGTTAGCAGGGTGGGGTTTTGGGGGCATGCGAAGAGATGCCGTGAGTCATGTGGCGACTCTCCGCATGCCGGGCACTGTTTCGGCACATCCTCGTTTATTCTGCTCAGGTAAGAGTTTAGCCTGCTGCAATAGCATCCCTACAAGAAGTGTGTGATGGAAACTAAGACATTCCCATTTATCTTACTAACACATTTGCAAATTTTGTGTTGGTTAAAAAGAGACCATTAAATAAGGCCATAAGTTGGAGGAAGACGGAAGATCATATGTACACAAATGTTTACATCAGATTTTTCACACTGCCCTTTAGAATTTGATAGAAACTTGTAGGTAGCCAGTGACAGAAATCTATATCAGTCTTGCCACTCAAATGATTTGTCAAATGATAGTCACTGTTCTTGCAGGGATAGCTTATTTCGTAAGTAAACACACTCAGCTCGCACATGTAAATAACAAAAAATACTTGCAAATTCATTAGAATCCACTCAAACAAGTAATTAAATATTTTTAAACATGCATTAGCAAAGTACACTTTATTTTGTTTACATATTTGGTTGACAAACACACTACTGCTGGTCGTTTAAATTTACCAGAATTTGTACCGTGGGTCCAGTTCAGAATAGTTTTATTTCCAGCTAGGAAAATGGCCCTCTTAGTTCTTTACAGGTTTTACTGTCGTTATATTTCCGTCACTTCCGGTTTCTGTATTTTTTTTTATTCCGTGACCCATAGTCACCCTGTGTTGCACATTTAACACCGCTGCATCAAGGTTCCTTTCAGACATCTCCGTGATCATATGATCCTGTATATCAAACTATCGATAAAACGATGATATTCTCTTTTGACTGAGGAGCTATTTCCGCAAATATCATGCTGTCTTTTCTTTTGGAACCTTGGAGCTGACAACACGCGGAGATCTAATTTATTTTAAAAATAATAAAAAAATTGAATTGTTTTATCCCGTAAAGTGCCGATGTGAGGAACCATAGCAGCGAGTTGAGGAAAACATTTTTTTAAATCATCGTAATTGGTAAGAACCTTAATTTAATGCTCTATGTGCAAAAATAAAAAGAATATCAAGAGAGACAAAATTGTAAGCGTGCTCGATTTTCTTTAGGATTGTGAATTGTGATAAAAAGGAATTTGGATTTTGTATCCTGAGTCAGCCTTACTTACCGCCGGATTCTTACAGCCAACCTATAGACGTGGCGAATGGGATACATAACCCCGGTAGCCTAACAAACATCTGCCGAACCACTCAGGATCCTAGTTTGTATCTACGTTTTAATTTGTACAGGCACACTTACATACATATGTACGAAACCATTGTTTAAGCTAAAACCATATGTATATCCATTTGATATTGGCTTAATGAATACATAAAAGCCAGAGTTTAAACAGAAACGTAATCTGCTCCGAAGCGAAATACAATTGATTGCCAGCTCGATAGCTTGGCATTCCAGTTTTTTTGGCTTTCGCGTTATAGCTACTTACATATATTCGATTCTCCAGCCATCGTGGCTTACCTTGATAAAGTACAAAAACAAAAGAAAAGAAACCAAAAGTATGAAGCTACCATGAAAATAGTTTAAACGAATTAAAATACGAATATTTTCACACTTACTTACCTGATAGACACTTAACTCTACGAGTAAATTTACCTTAAGTCCTCCTTAGAAAATTAGCATATGTAGATGAAAAGTTCTTACTTAAATTTTATCACATGTTCTTAGCAGCATAAATTCAACTTACCTTTTTTTTTCTACTTACGTTTTTTTTGTATTCTTGAAAGGTGTACACACTTATGTATGTGTATATAACACTAGGTTAATCACTTAATTTGATCAGAATTAAGAGCACCACGTGGTGAATCCACTTGGTTACCTAACCTATCTCGACAATAGGATCACCTCTTCTATTTACATATATATATGCATGCTCACATGCTCTCTTTCCATCACCTGAAATACATAATTTCCAATAATGAATTTTAAGAGATTGCAATTCGCCAAATGTTTAGATTTTTTCTTCTCTTACTACTTTTGATTATTTTTTGGAGTAAGCACATATTCTAACTCCCATTTATTGGGTTACTTTCGCTCTCGATACAACTACAGTATCCGACCAAATAATGGAACAAGTTTTTTTTGTCAAGATATTTGAGGCTCAAATTTTTATGATTTTTTTTTGTTGAAGTTGTATTTTTTTTTAATTACCGTAATTAAGTATCTACCTACATATTCATGTAAATGTGCAATGAAATTAAAGTTATAAAACAAGGGGAAAACGAGATTTCAGCAGCAGCAACAACAAAGCAAGGAGGCCTCTTCGCTTCGTGGGACTGCAATCAAAGTGAGTGAATTTTGGATATTATTTTATTCTATATTCGTAGGTTTAATTATTCCTATATGTATGTACATCTGCACATAGGTATGTGGGCTTGTAAGGAGTTCTAATTTCTGTTTGTAATCTACCCACACTATATTATGTACATGCATATAAGAATAAATATACTAGAAAGGGTTTAATAGACTTCATTTGCGAAGTATATACATATGTATGTACGTATGTATGCAAATTGTATAGAGTGCCTAAAGTTAGTTTATTTCTCATTCACAACTATGCGTACATATGTATGTACATAAATACGGATATTAGAGAATTTTTTTTTTGCACTTAGATTTTTTTTATTGTTTGCGAAATTTCTTATAAGCATATAGTATGTACGTTTACCTTCATGAGGCCTGGTGCATTATCTCTTATGTTCTCTGAGAACTCCAACAAATATACATACGTATACATATATATATTCACAAACCAGTTTTTTTTGCAATTTTCTTTGACACATATTTGATTTTTATATACAACCTTGAGAGCATAGAAATATATTAGAGTAAATGTGGGTCAATGACCACATAGATACCTTTTGTTGAGGTAGGTCAGGATTTTAGTTTAAGATTACACCTAAGAAAAATATTAGTCGTAATGTTAATGAACTTGAATTGTTAGTTATGTTGATATGATACACATAAGGAAGTATTTGAATTGGAAATATATAGTTTATCTTACTTGCTACTTTTTAACTACTTATTTAAGGACTTACATAGGAAATGAGTTGAATTTTATAATACAAATTTTATAATGAATTGCTAAATTGTAAACTTTTGGTCTGAATTCGAAGGAAGTGTAGGTGGTAATACGGGGCTTTATTAACACCAACAAAGCCATGGTAGGGTGGGTGCAGAGCAGCCGCAAACGTTTCACCAGGCGCTGCCAAAGGTGTAGGGGTTTGGGTAGCTGGAAGTAGGCCCAAGTTTGGTTTGAGGTATTTATTTAGCCCCCAAGTGTGCAAACAAAAATTATCTTTGTTAGGGTTGTAGGCTGGGGAGAATGATGGTTGGTCAGCAGTTAAGTATTGACCCCCCCCAGGCTGAAGCTCCGGGAACCAGCCAGTGCACACGCCTTAGCTGTTGACGTCATCGCCAGCTCTTCTCGCCGATGCTTTTATTGGATATGTACAGCTCAGCCTTCCGTCCCATAACAAATTTACCAGCAAAAAATCTTCGGACTAAAACTGGTAACTTCGGAGAAAGAGAGGACCTTATTTAATCTCTTATTTGTGCTCTCAGTTGCAGAGAACCGAGTATGGGATCGATTTCCAGTAAAATCGGGGGAAATTCTGGTAAACAATGGTAGGCTCGGACACATACGGGATCACAAATAATATGTCGAGGGCTTATATTCAATACACTATCTGCAATTTTCACAAAAACTTCTTTGAGATGTTAGATCCTATCTGGGGCTTACCTGTCATCACTGATGTCAATTCTGACTTTGCAATTTAATAGTAAATTCTTCTGTCAATCGTTATACAAGTTCAGCAGTAATATCACCGATGACAGTTAATGCAGCGTTTTTGCTGCATTTAAAATGCAACATTTAGCACTTTCGAACATATAGGCCCCTATTGCGAGTGTCGACTGGCAGTAGAATAGAAATTTGTCGATCGAGTCGATCATCTTTTATTTTGCTATTGTGTAACTTGATCGATAAAAATTTGTACTATTGTGAATGGTTAACTGAATTGTAAACAGCTGTTTGTTTGTTTACATTTGTTTACATAATTTTTAAAATAATTGCTTTTATTATAAAATTTAAAAAATTGATGCAGTTGAAATATGGTTTAGTGATGAGGAAGCTAATAGATTAGTAGAGTTGGCTAAAGCAAGGAGGGAATTACGAAATTCGTCGGATCCCTTGGAGTTGGAAGATGAAGTGTATGTACATATGTGAATTTTATGAATAGAAGTTACGTGCCAGATGCTTCACGGTTTGTGGGTTTTACAGGATTTGCAGTAAAAGCTGTTTTCCTCATTAATACACTTTGTGGAAGTTTAAGAAATACGGTACGGTTTAGCTATTCGTACAATGATGTTGGGTATTTGTGTCCAAACGCGTGACCCGAGTTTAAAAAGTTTAACAGACAAGTGTAGTTAAAGAATTAAACTTTAATTTAAAATAAAGATTTCAAATTTCCGAGCACTAGTTAAATAATAAATTATGCAGTATTTTGGAAACTTTGATGTTGGTTCTGTGCAAAAACACTGTGGATGACAAGATATATTGCATATCTTTCACAATTTTTTACAACTTCCAGTTTAATTGACTTACTTTTTATCCATTACTAGCTTTTACCCGCGGGTTTCACCCCACGTCTTTATACAAATATGAAAAATACTTTATGTAAAGATGTTATACTCTCTGCCCCAATTTTATTACAGCCGTGATAGCAGCATATGTTAAGACAGCTGTATAGCTTGGGTGTTATGGAATGAAATGCAATAATAACTTTTTGGCACTGCAGGTGTTTTTATTTAGGTTAAAATATCTCCAATAAATTATATAATAGAAGAAATACTATCTAATTTCTTACGAATAATAACTCTAATATGATTTCACAGCATTTTTTTAATACTTCAAAATATCTATTAACATAAATGCATTTTCCAATACAATTATCTTACATTTTATTTTCGATAAAGTTTCGCGTTTTACTTTGAGGCATTCTTGTTTATTGTCATTGCAAAAGCTAAGCGAACGGGGAACTGAGGTCTTTTAAATTCGAAAGGCATACTAAAAGGAATTAAAGGAGTCATGTGACTTGTGGTTCCGAAAATATGGCTGATAAAATTTCCACGCCTATATTATGTACCNAAAGGAATTAAAGGAGTCATGTGACTTGTGGTTCCGAAAATATGGCTGATAAAAAATTCCACGCCTATATTATGTACTACGCCTCCATTTACAAACTCCTTTATATAAACCTTAAACTTATAGTAATATAAGCACCTACCATTGATATGTTTGCATACCAAATTTCAATTTTATGTGACTTATGGTTCCAAAGTTATGGCTGATTAAAAACTCTACGACTATGAGATATGCCACGCCCCCTCCAACAAAGCCATTTATATAAACCTTACTATAAGCATCTACTATTGATTTGTTTGCATACCAAATTTCAAGTTCATGTGACTTATGGTTCCGAAGTTATAGCTGATTAAAAATTTACAGCCCTTTGGGAGGTGCCACGCCCCCTCGCAAAATTGACATCATATTTGCAAACAAAACCATGCCTATAACCTTCCCGGGGTAAAAGCAAATAAGTGTGCAAAGTTTCGTGCGGTTCCGTGTAGTCGTTCAAAAGTTATAAGATAATAAACAAACAGACATTCACATTTATATATATAGATAGTTACACTTTCTTATGTAAATTTTATATACGCAAACTCCAACGACTAAAAAACAGCAATAGAAGGATGAGCGATTAAAAAGTATTCACAGTCGCTAATTGAGCGACTAAGCGACACTCACAATAGCATCGATAATCGACAATCGCTTAACAGTCGTTTATCTACTGCCAGTTGACATTCGCAATAGGGGTGATATTTTCGAAGTGCGTTCGTATGCTTTTGAAAGCAGCCGTGTTCCAGTCGTTTATTCAGATCCGTATCTATCACGATCAATTCGCACAGAGAAGATAATGTGCAAAAAACCCTACTGAAAAAGGGAAGAAGAAATTTTAAATAAAAAATTCAG